GATAAGAATAGAGGGAAAAAAAAAGGTATGTCTATTCTACAAAAGTTTCTCTATCTGTATAATGGATCTGTTTTATGTGTTGTCTTCTCAATTTAGAAGGCCCCATGCCTGTCATAGCCTAGGGCCCCAAATTTCCACAATCCGCCCCTGTTTCCAGGACCCGTTGGATGGAGCAGAGAGTAATAAACATTTTGAATTAGCTGAATATTTCAGCTTTATCCTTCAGTCATAGCCAGATCATGCTGTTTTTATTCAAAGTATTATTTCAGAGATTAAAACAGATTATATTCTGAGGCACAAGTAAAGACAAACCCATTGGATTGTTAACAGATTTAAGGATAAATCTGATGCTGACGCTCTTTTTTCTTTCCCTCCAAATGAACACTTCTTTCAAGCTCTAGTTATCAAATATCTGTAAAGTTTAACTAAACCCAAAGTAAAAGCATAACCCTGCTCTCAGTCAAACTTTTAAAAAAGGCAAAAGTGGGCAGAAATAAAAGGCCAAGTAGTCAGGATTAGGGAAACGGTCCCTAAAATAAAAGTAGATACTGATTGATAGGTAAAAATATGCTCACCTGAAAAACCCTATTATTAAAGCTTTCAGTTCAGACTCCTGAGTCACCATAGTAGAACATGTGCGACTGACATAGTTTTATGGCATGCTGGTGAACATTCTCACTCATCCAGGTCATAGTCATTCCCAAAAAAAGTTGAAAACAATCCATTGGACTTTGATTCCAAGTTTGAAGATGTTTCGCTTCCCATTCCGGAGGTTTTTTCAATTCAAAATTTAAATTGAAAAAGCTTCCTGAATGGTAAACAAGACATCTTCAGACTTGGAAGAATGTTCAGTTGTTTGCCTTTTTAACTTTTTTGGAAAGTTTTATGGCATGTTTGTACCAAAAAATCAGAATAGCAGTTAGAGCGGCGTTACGGACGCACCATTGGCCATAGAGGCCAAGTTATGAGGTAAATCCGAGGCAGCGTTATTCATCAACTCTGGGCTTTGATTAAGAGATTTGTTGTTTTAACCAAAGGGAACATTTGACAGCAGCGTCCACGTTTCAAACCATAGAGGGCAGCACTAAGATGGATTTAGGGCCAAATATTGCAGAATCAAACACGTTTAACTGAAAATGCAAATATTTGCACAGTAGCAGGAAGATAGTAGCC